GGTGCGGTGCGGTGCGGTGCGGTGTGGTGTGGTGTGGTGTGGTGTGTAAGGCAGTGTTCTGTATGTCAGGTCCAGGAGCATAAATGAGGCAGAAGAGACTTCTGTCCTCAGGGTCCTCTTGCTCCAACTGACCTTGCATCTTCTCAACCCCCAGCCTGCTCCTGCCTCTGCGCCTGCCTCAGGAAAAGACACCTCCTTCCACATAGATCCCACCCAGAAACAAGTCAGCTTTCATGCCTCCTCCTCAGCCAAATTCCCACACTCCCTTGATTCTCCACCCAAACATCCTCTGACTCCCCCCCAGCCACCCAGCCCTGCACACCACTACTTCTTGCCTAGACACAGCGGCAGCTTCCAGAGAGGGCCCTGGCTTTGCCCTCTCCAGTCCTTTCTCCTGCCTGTAGCCTGGCTACCCTCTGACGTAAAACCCTCGGGGGCTCCCCAGTGCTCTCAGCGTGTTAAGGCCAGACACAGTACACCTCACTTAGCTCACCTCTCAATGCCTCCCCGCACCTGCACCCTCTAAATTCCAGCCACACTCAGTTTACTTAGTCCCCTCAACTCACTAGGGCTTCTTTCCCTCCTGCTCTGACCTCCGCCAGGGCCATCCCCAGCCCCACCCTGGCCAAGCTGATTCACCCCTACCTTCCCGCTATCCTTCCATCTCAGCCTAAACGGTTTTTCCTCCAGGAAACCTTGCTCAACTCCTTAGCTGGGGTGGGGCATCCCTAATGAGCCATCTACATTGTGCTCACCCCCTTCTCCACATGTCCACTAACTGGCTCTCTGGACACTGCACTTTCCCTGGACACCTTCTCCAAATTCACGGCTCTGCCCCATACTGTTGACTGACATTCCCTTATTCTAGTACAAGTCCTCTAGAATTCCCAGCTCATTTACTTAACACCTCTACCTGGCACACCACTGCTAGGATTCGTCTTGTTGCAAGGCATAAAATTCCATTTAAACTGTTTTAAGCTAAAGCAGGTCTCTGTTGACTAGAGTACCTAGACAGTGGAGGGAGATCTCAGGTTCCGTCACTGATGCACCGAGACCTCACTGCGGGCTTTGCTCCTAGAACTAGACGGACCCTACCCAAACTCTCCCAACCAGGCACTAGGAAAGTAGGTCAGGTATGGGAAATGGAGGCTGTCAAAAAGAGGGATGGAACATACACAAGAACGCACACTTCAAGCACAGCATGGATTAAAGCGGATTCTACACATTGCTGTCAGACCTGAGTCTTTCACTCCAGGCCCCGTTTCCACGCTTTGCACCTTTGTCCACCCAGCTGTTCACCAAGTACTAGGAATCGTCCTAGACTTCTACTCTCACTGCCTCCTGCAGACAGGCATCATTTTTCAGTTTTTCCTCGTCCGTGCTCACCCCCTCCTCTCCACCCTCATTGCCTTAACTCAGACTCTCCTAACTGACTCATTTACCCTCTTCATGCCTCTGTAAAAAAGCTGGGAACACAATGACCACAGAAGCACAAATGCCTGAGTCTTGCAGCTAATTCTCTAGTAGCTTCCATCAGAGGAACTGTGCTCCCTCAGAGTGTATTTGAGTTTGTTGCCAAACCTGTTTATATCAGTAGTACTTGTCCTTATAACCTGTCATTTCATTAAAGATTCCATAAATCAATAAAATGTGGGTGTAGAAAAAAAGCTGTTATCTTTAT